GCTGGTGATAATGGATTAAAATAGCAATAATGATGACGATGGTGATGGTGATTTTGATGATGATGATGAGGTGATGGTGATAATGATGATGTTGATGATGATAATAAAGTAATATGATGATGTAATGATGAAGATAATAATGCTGTTATGATGGTAATTTTATTACTAGTATACTCAAGATGTTTTGCTGCTGTTACTTGTAGTTTTAGTGACATCATCTCATGTTGACCTCTTTACAAGAACATCATCTTCGTCGTCTTCCTTAATGACCACATTTCCACTTTCCTTCTATTCAATTACCACTTCAAATATTTACGAATCTTTACTTTCCAATCGTAGAGTTGTCAAGCACGTTATCAACCGTCTCAACCGTCTCATTATCAACATGTAAGTATGCATTAAGGTGACATAATTGATAATGCTACTTTTGAATTTTCGATTTGAGCCAACGATGTGTGCGCGCTCAAAAGCCGCTGAATGTTAAGAATTTATTGAAGACCCATACACGTTTTGAGCTTCAACAGGGCAAAACCCTCAAATTTTGCATCGGACACTATACTTTTTATGAGCTTATTTGAAAAAACTACATTGTATCAATTTTTTAGAAAAAGTTTATTTTTCTAACACATGAAAAAAAGATTTTTGTAGGGATTTTTGTTCGAATTTATGAGAGTCTTTGAGAGCACTGAAAGGACGAAATATGACAAATCAATGTATATCTCTGTCTTTTTGTTCAAAAGATACACACGTATTATTGTAGAATGAATGACTAGCCTTCATTTTTGCAAACATAGCATACATTTGTTCTGCAAATATTTTTTATCTTATGAATCGTAATTATTTCCAGTTGCGCAAATTTTGCTTCAAAAACTCGCGCGTAGGCATCCATTACATGCTAATTATCTCGAAAAGAGGCTTGAAACACCCCATTTTTCTTTTCATATTTGGAATTTGATTTCATAGCATTTAATTTCACTTTAAAGATATGCAGTTTAAAAAAAGTTTAAATATTTTTTCCAAAAGTAGCCAGTTGCCTTACGTCATTACAATATATGCTCTCTCTCAGTTCTCTGTTGCTCTGGGCTAGCATGGCTCTATTTTGTGTGAAATAATAATAATGTAGATCATAGTGATGGAGATAGGGCTGATGATAATGGTGTTGATGATAGCAATGATGATGATGATGATGTTGATGATAGCAATGATGATGATGATGATGTTGATGATAATGATGATGATAAGGCTGATGATGATGATGATGATGATGATAATGATGATGATAAGGCTGATGATGATGGTGAGGATGTTGATGATGATAATGGTGATGGTGATTATAATGGTAGTATGATATTGGCGATAATGATCATAGAAAGGTGATTATGGTTTTTACAATAACTTACAAATTTCTCGCGCGCTGATTGGTTATTTTTTATCACCAATAAGAGGACGTCAATGAGCGCGCGCTCTTTCCGTTGGTTGTTTTGATCGCTTTTGTTATTGTAAAAAGCAAATAGGCATCAGTTTTTTCAGTGTATGTCCTCTTATTGACAATAATTTCGTCATCACATTGTCAAAGTAGTGTGGATCCACGAGGCGTAGCCGAATTTATCGTCAACAAGAGGACAGACACATAAAAAACTGATGTCTTTGTAAAGTTGACTAGCTCACGAATCAGATTGGAGGGAGAAAAAGCCCTCCGAATCAAGGGAGAGACCTAACAGACTCTACTCAAATGTGATGCCGATTCCAGAAGTCGAACCTGGAGACATGTTACGCTTGTGAATAATTGTCCAATGTGTTAAAAAAAGTTCTCCATCATTGCAAGCTCGCCGTTCGTCTCGCTTCGATGCAAAGGCACGGCTACCTTTCAAGATGGCGCAGGGAACTGTGAAGGGAACTATTGGCAGAACAGTGTTCATCGTGCTTCTCCTAAAA